CTTCCAACCCATGTGAAAAGTGCTTTTCAATTCACAGAAGACACTGTCCCCTAAACTACCCTAGAACCATGATGGCAAAACTTTAGAGCTTTTAATGATATAAACAGCCTACTGTGGCATACATGTCACAGGTTCACCAGCACTGTCCTAGGATAAACAGTTCATAAGCAAGTTGAAAAAACAGTAGAAATAGCAGATATTTTAGGGTCAGCCAGAAGCTGGTGAACAATGTCACAGACAATGTATTTGCATATGCTAACAAACTTAACAGCAACATTTATAATTGGGAGTAAACTTCCTTTTTTTTTTTTTGGTGCTGGAGATTGAAGTCAGAGCTTTGCAAAAGCTATGCAAGTGTTCTACGGAGCTATACCTGGGAGTAAGGTCTTCATGGGGAGTGATTCAGCCTGTGAGCTATCAAGTTAGATTACCAAAGTCCAAACTGTGACTCCATCACTATTCTTTACTATCTTCAGCAAGTTTCATACATACATTCATTTATTCATGTTTTCTGAAAGAGGGTTTTGTAATTTGTACAGGCTGGCCTCAAATGCATAGTAATCCTCCTGCCTCAGCCTCCTGAGTGTTGGGATTATAAGCATGCATCATCACACACAGCTTGAGTAAGTTTCTTAATCTTATTAGTCCTATTTGTTCCTCTGTAAAATGAGGCTAAAAATGCTAACAGTAATACCATCTACCTCCTATGACTGTCACAAAGACTGAATGAATTAATGCATACAAAGTGTTTCAGATATGGCAAATGCTAAGTAAACATTAACAATTACTATGGAAAAAGGAAGAATGTTAGAAAAAAAAAAAAAAAAAAAAAAGAATGTCAGCAAAGCCTAAGTGGCACATTCTTGTGGCAGATTATGAAACCAAATTTCTTAGGCACAAGTGTTAGTGCTATCATTTACTAGCTATATGGTTTTGGCCAAGTTACTTAACCTTTCTGTGTCTCTGTTTCTACCTACATAAAATGAGGATACCTATAATACTCCTTTCTTAACATATGTATGATAGGGGCCAGGGAGATGGTTCAGTAGACTAAGCACTTCCCTAGCAAGTGCAAGGGCCTGAGTTCAATCCCCGGTTCCGGGGGTGGGGGGGGAGTATGATGAATATTAATATATGTGAAATACTTAAAATGGTGATTGGAGATAAATAATCAAAAAATATTATCACCTGATATCCAATCTTCCCTTCTACCACACCCAGTGTAACACTACAACTTCGCAGAAGTATTCAGCTTTTCAAATACAAATTAAAGCAATAATAAAGTATCGCTCTGCATCCACCAAAGTGGCTAAGATTAAAACTATGAAAATATAGTGTTGATAGTAACATACAACTCCTATTAAAGAAAAATTTGTCAGTTGATATTAAAACTAAACACAAGCACTTTCTTGGACCCAGCGTCTATCATTCTAATTGTATACCAATGGAAATGTGCACATATAATCAATCAACCAAAGGTAACTAAAAAGTTCACAACATCATTATTCAAAATAACCTCAAACTCAAGAGACTACTATTAATTCCACCAATGAAAAGGAATCTTTTCAAAGGCACTCTGTTCACCAATAGAATGTGAGACAGTAATCCTATTCACCAAAGAATACTAGACAGCAATGAAAATGATTTATATCAAAAAGCAACAATACAGATAATTCTCATTTACTACTGAGCAAAAGAAGCTAGACATCAGAGTGTCCACTCTTAATTCCATTTATACAAAATCCAAAGAATGACAAAACTAACCTGTAATGTTATAAGTCAGAATAGTGGTTACCCTTGGGGTCAAGGGGTAGGGCTAGAAGAGACCACAAGGGCTTCAAGGGTGCTAGTAATTTCTGTTTCTGAGGAATATTTATAAAATTAAGTTTTCTGTACATATTATATTTTACTAGGGGTTTGTTTTTAGTTCTTTTTCAGACACTTTCGGCTAAGAGTGGGGCCATCTAAGTGTGACAATATACAGTGTAAGAGAAAAATCTACAGGACACAAATTTTTAGGACAGTTATTGTTTCCCTAATAGACTATACCCTTTATCCTTGTGTTTGACCTGTCCTCCTTCCTACTATTGGAGATGAAATTTCTACAGGCCAACTTGTGTTTTTAGGGGTGAAGTGGTAAGGATAGGGGAGGTGAGAGGAGATACAAGAAAATAAAGGGAGAAGAGTCCCTTGTATCTGTAAAATGGGAGTAGCAGCATTACTATATCATAATAAAATTGTATGAGGATTAAATGAGTTGAAATCGTGGATCATCTTTCCTGCTTTGTCTTTTTTAAAATGTCGTGACTTCCTGGAGGAGGACAGTAAATTACTCCTAGATCAGCTCTTACAGAGCAGCCATAGTGTTCTGTCAAAATACTTGCTTCCATTTTCCAAGATATATATAAATCATTGATTAAAATAAATACATAAACAAATAGGCGAGCTGAAATCATTCACAACACTTAGAATAGTACCTTACATGCGTTAGCAGCCTGCAGTGAGTGCTGCTGTTGTGATGTCTGCTGTACACATCCCCTCACCCCAGGCTTTATTTTCTGAGGACAGACTATATTCTTTCTGTATCCTTGAAACACTGCTTTTTACAAATTGGGTACTTAATGTGTATTTGTTTAGTTGAGCCTTAACCTTCACTGATAACAGTCATTACTAAATCCAAAGAAAACATGTTTGCCTTAGACACTACAATCATCATGATTTTCTTTTTTTGGAAGGCAGCCAAAAATTGTCACTTGAGTCTCACTTTCTACATAAACATTTTGTTGTTGTTCTTACGGTTTTTTTTGCAATATTAACCTGTGGAATTCAGGGTTTTTATATGGAAAGCTAAAACAAATTTCATAACAAGATGATAGAATAACAATAGTTAATATACTGCATATTATTACCTTTAAAGTAGTTACAGTAAGAGATGGGGCATAAAAAAACTCTCCAATCAACACTAGCACAAAGCTTCCATTTCTAGGAACTAAGAGACACTAATAGTGCAACTAACTTGCATTGTTCTCTTTTCCCTTCCTTCTTTTCCCCTTTCTCCCATCCTAGTTCCTTTTATCTTTTGAACAACTTTTTCCCATTTCACAGTATCTACTGTTCATTTTAGACCTTATTTATTCTTCCATTTTCTCACACCAGGGAGACAATATGATGTTTACATATGGGTCTAATTTATTTCACCAATAAGTATGGCAGCAAGTTGCATCCATTTATCGACAAAAGTCTCAAACTTATCCTTCTTTATGGCTGAGTAGTACTCCATTGTAAAAAAGACTACATCCTTCTATCCATTCCTCAGTGATGGGTATCAGGGTTGCTTTCAAGATGTAGCTATTACAAATTGTGCCACTATAAACTTTAGTATACATGTATGGCTGTGATATGATGTTTTTAATAGTTCCAGGAAGATACTCAGAAAGGGAACAGCTGAGTCAAATGGAACCGCTAATCTTAGGTTTTTAGGAATCTCTACTGATTTCAACAGTGATTGTACCAGTATACACTCCCACTAACAGTGGAGAAGCATTTCTTTCCCCACACCCTCTCCAGCACTTGTCGATGGTAGATTTCTTGATGATACCATGCTTTCTGGAGTGAGATGGAATCTCAGTGTTGTTTTAATTTGCATCTCTCAAATAACCAATGATGTTGAAGTTTTTTCATATATTTATCTACCATTTGTATCTCTTCATCTGAGAAATATATATTCATGTGAAATGCCCATTTTTGGATTGGGTTTTTGAATTTGAGGGGTCTTGTTTTTTTTTTTTTCAGTTGTATTAGGATAGAAGTCCTTTGCTTCAGGGACAACTGGCTAAATTTTTTTTCCCAACGTGTGATTTGACTTTTCACTCTGATGGTGATTTCTTTTGATTTATAAAAGCTTTTTAGTAAGATGTGGTCCCAGTTGTTGATTTTGTTTTTTGTTTATATAACTTTTTAAAATCAAGAATAATCTTAATTTTCCAACAGTAAAATGCTCTACATTACAACAAGCTTTAAAAGAAATCTGATTTCCTTTGCACTTCTCTTCAAGATTATACAATTCAACATGTTTTTCCATATGGCTATCTCAATAATCCTTTACAACTATAAAATTAGTTTTTACTCTCATTAATTTTTAAAATGAGCATAGTATAATCCTGTGCACAAGTAAAACTTTTCCCCAAGAAACTATGAATACACCTCTGTGTGTGTGTGTGTGTGTGTGTGTGTGCGCGCGCGTGTATGTATTCAAAGCTTGGACATCATTACTTCAATGTAATCACATGCTAATAATTAATACAGACTGTCCAACACTCTGAAATTACTTATTTTTTATTATTAATATTGATAACATACCTGAGGCGTAGCTGGTTCACTTCCATTAACACTGTTGGGAGAATCTGTGGCATGGATAGATGCATTCTAAGAAAGAAACAAAAATATAAAAGGAACAGAATACTAAAGATTTAAAACTGATAAAAACAAAGTTTAAGTACCAAGACTTATCAGATGACTTATGTGTAAAGCAAAATTAGTAATTATTCATTAATTAGAATACTTTCATGCAAGGCAAAATTAATATGGTAAGTATTTTAGGAAGTTCATTTTGCTAAATGACAAAAGATTAGTATGTAACAAAATTTATACAGTCTCATAACATACCTTTTCCCATTATGTCCCCAGTTTTTCCCCCACAATAAAAATCAGTAACAAGGATTCAATTCGCAAAATTCTCTTAAATAGAAAACTATCCAGAAAAAGAAGTAATGTCAATTGTTCACTATAATCATATTCAAATTAAAATTATTTACACTAAACTATGAAAAATATTCTGATAACAAAAATGGAAATGCTTCATTCACTTGAAGCCAGCAATGTAAACAAAATTATTACAACCACTTTCAGAAAAAGCTATAACTAAAAATTTCTCCTTCTACATATAAGGTTTTTGTTTTGTTCTGTCACTATGACAGATGCTTCAAGCCAAGCAACATTCTGATTCCATCATATAGCTATCATAATATACATGATTCTTTGAGATTCAAAAATTCTTACTGCAGTACTAATGTAGTGTCTAACTACAAGTTTATTAGCACTTTTAAAATAGCTCACAGTAAAATAGCTTCTGTGGTTTAGGCAAGACCATTCTACCAAAGCTAGCTAGCACTAACCACTGTTTCAAGAACTTGGCATTTAAAAAAAACATTACTTCCTACCTTGATAGCTGACCAAGAAAATGTTTTTCCATATGGCTATCTGACCTAATTTGTCTTACAAACATAAGTGAAGAAGGCATTCAGCTTGGCAAAAGTATTCTCAAATTTTTCAACACATATTAGGCATTTAATTTTTAGGTGAAATACATGTTGCTATATATTTTAGTCTTTAGCAGTATATACCAAAAACATTTACAGTTAGAATAGGGTTTCTTTAATATGTTCCAAATAGCCAAAGGTGGGTGGGCTGCACATGTAGAGAAAGTGGCTAAGAGATCTGTCAATCTCTTAGCAGTGGTATAGTTAGGAATGAGCAAATTTAGTGGTAATAAAACAAAACAGCATGGCAAGGAGTTTTTAATCATTGAGTACCGGGTAATGGATATGAGGTGGGAGGAGACATTTCTTATACCACTATTACTGTTTTTATTTTGGTCATATGTTTAGCTTATTAATAAAAAAATTTAAGGCCAGGGAGATGGCTCAGTGGAATAAGCGCTTCCCTGGCAAGCGCAAGGGCCTGAGTTCAATCCTTGGTTCTGCCAAAAAAAAAAAAAAAAAAAATGGAAGTATTTTCTCCTCTCTATAAATGTTATCAAATTCTAGAGTCCAAAAGCTTCTTTGAAGTTGCACAGGGAAATGCTTGTGATCCCAGTACTTGGAGGCTGAGGCAGGAAGATTGCTGTTAAGTCCAAGGCCAGCCTGAGCTACAAAGTGAGTACAGGGATGGCTGAACTGCATAGTGAAACCCTTTCTCAAAAAGACAAAAAATTACTAATAAAAAAAGTTAGTAAGGGAAGAATAGTTGGGAGAACACTGAAATTAACTTACCTTCCTATTCGCTGCCATTTGAAAAAATTACAAGTTGCATAAATAATCTTGAATGATTTCTGACCCTAAAAAAATTCTACACTACACACTATAAAATACAAATTATACTTTACAGAGATTGACAAATCTCTCAGCCAGTCAGTATACTGAGAAGCTATGGTTAAATTATGAAGAAAAGGCCAAGTGTGGTAGTACATGTCTGTAATTCTAGCACTAAGAGGACCACAGCAAGTTCAAGCCAACCTGGGCAAGCTCCAGGCCAGCCTTAAGTACAGAGTAAAACCTTGTCTCAAAAAAAAAAAGGCCGGTGAGATAAGTGCCTGTTTAGGGAAGTTCAGGGACAAGCACCACCTGCCACACCGGCGCCACCCCCAGGCACGCTGTATCCCCAACACCGGGGAGGCTGAAAACAGGAGGATCACTACAAGTCCGAGATGTGTAGCGAGATCCTATACCAAATACATAAATAAATAAGTGCAAGGGTAATACTAATATTCCATGAACATTTAAATTAGGAATCTCTAGAAACAATTTGAGATTCTGTCTGTAATGCCTTCTCCACTTCTGGGTAAGTTCTTCATTTTTCAACTCTAAGAAGCATTTGATTTGTGAAGCTTCACGCCTCATCATGCTTCATTGGCAGAGCCAATACATTCCCTATGCCTATATATTCTCCTAAAAAGCGCTGATTTCTTGGATCTATAAATACATGGTGATATCTTTCTCTCCACATTAAACTATAAATTCTTAGAAGACAGGACCCTATATTTTCAGCTTGGTGCCCAGGACCTAACATGTTGCCTAACTAGCAGTAAGCTCTCAAATACATATTAATTATTGTGCAGTCACTTCTTGAAAAGTCTTCTTGCAGAAAGAACCCTAAAGAACTAGTTCAACACATGTCAATATTCAGAGCCATTGGGGCCACTAAGATAGCTCAGCAGACTAAGTGCTTGTTTAAGCAAGTGCAGGGGTCAGGGTACAATCCCTGACACCACATGCCTTGCTGGCCCTGCCCCCTAGGTGTGCTGAGTTGGCAACGGAGTCAAGGCATGGTGGCAAATGCCTGTAATCCAGCACTAGGGAGGCTCAAAACAGGAGAATCTGGGCCAGGGAGATGGCTCAATAGAATAAGCACTTCCCTGGCAAGCACAAGGGCCTGAGTTCAATCCCTGGTTCAGCCA